CGCCCGCAGGGCCAGGGTGCGGGGGTGCCCCGACCCCCTGCTCCCCAAACTCACCCTCTGCCTGCAGAGGGCCCCCGTGGCTGCTCCTAGGGGACGGGTCGCGGGGCTCATTGGGGAAACTGCCCCAAGGAAACAGGGGACTGAATCGCCTTTGCCTAGCTCTCAGCGCGGCCATGCACGGAGCGGGATGCTGCAAGCCTGACGCCTTTCACGAGTTAACAGGGATATCCAATGGCTGAGCCCAGTGTTTGCAAGGTTTAAACCTTCCACTTACTGGAGTGACTGGTGGGATACATCCCAGACATAGCCCCCATCCCTGCTGCAGCCATCCTTCCTGTTTTGGGGCAGTGGGGGGGCGGGCCGTGATCTAGAAGAGGTGCCAGGCTGAAGAGTCCCTGCTCTAACCCACCTGGCTGCTGTTGGGGGCTCAGCTCACCTGTGCTGCAGCATCAGGAAGCAAAGTGAAACCCACTGAACAGCTGAAACCTCACTGAAACCCAAAATGCCAGGTGGCCCTCAGATAGGAGCAGCTCTCTAAGAGCTGGGGAGAATCCAGTTTAATTCCTTCCTTTGCTATAGACTCCATATGGGTTCTTTGGTGGTGGTGGTGGGGTCACTCGTGCCCCACTCCCCAACACGTGCCATAGGGGAACAGTGTCATTTGCCTGTGCCACGGGGTTGCCAGGGTTGGTACACAGAGGGCATAACCCCAAAATGGACAGCTTCTCCCTGCTGCTCTGCGAGGAGCACATGCTATGCCATCCCTACCTCCCTGCAAGTTCCCCACCAGCAGATTTCTGCTGGAGGAGCTAAGGTGTCACAGGAAAGAAATCGGGATGGTGAACCTCAGCAGTGGCAGCAGGCAGAGCCAGGCACCCTGCAGCAATCAACACAACTCCAGACTTCTCCAAAGCCTCCATTAGGAGCTTTAGGAGACAGTTGTTAGCTTCAGGACATCCCCATCTCCTCAAAACCGCTGCAGGCCATGGCCATTGCTGCCCGGCGCGCCCCAGCATGTCGCTCACCATCTCCACGGGCGCAGCGGAGCAGTGGAAGTCCCAGTAGAAGGGCAGTCCCGAGAGCTCGCTTTTCACGTGAACGCTGAGCCTGCCAGCCCCGCGGTGGCAGGAGAAGGAGGTGGCGGTGTCCGGCTGTCCTGCCAGCAAGGGGCACATGAGGCTGCACAAGCGGTGCAGGAAGGAGGACACATGGGCCGTCAGCCGCTTGTTCAGCTCCTGGCGAAAGGCAAGGTTAGGGGAGCAGCGAGGCCCTGGAGACCTCGGCACCTGAAAAAAGCTAGCAGAAAGCCCAGCACACAAGGATCGAACTACCTCCACGTGTCCTAGGGCAGCAAAAAACCATCCCTGGCATCTAGCCCCAGGACAGCACACTCCCCACCAGCTCTCCCCAGCAAGCCAAGCTGGAAAGGTTTCCTAGCCCCAACCAGCAGGACCAGGAGGGTCTAGGGCAAGGGTGGCCAGGGTACGGTCCAGGGTGTCTCTGGGGCTGCGCACAGACAGGCAGGTCCTGCAGGCAGGACACGCTGTGGCAGCCTGTGCCCTGGTTGTTACAGTGAACGGAGTCTCTCTCTGTCCCTGATGGGAGGCAGCGTTGTTTCGACCTGCTGCTTAATGCACCAGCTCTGGGGAAAGCAGCTCCCCATCCAGCCCACAAGTGAAACGAGTCTGCTGGCCTCAGCATACAGCCCCAGTGAAGAGCTAACTGCGCTGGTCATGCTAAACAACCTGACCCACTCTCCAAGGAGGAGGGTGCTCGGCCATCCGGGATGACAGTGCAGGGGCATAGCTGTGCAGGGGCTTTCCAGGCCCGGCTTTCCAGCCAGATCCGGTGGCCGTCGTGCTGCCAGCCAGCTCCTGCTGGGACGTCAGCTGGCGTGAGGGGAAAAGGAGGTCCCTGGACTTTCCAGACACTCACCTTAGACCTTTGTCCCACTGCCTCTGCGTCTACGCTCTCGTACCAGACACTGCTGAGGTCGGAGATCAGCAGGATGTAGCCAGAATCCCTGAAACAAGCTTTGGCAATAAAAGCCGACTCGCCAAAGCAAACAGAAGCCCAGGGCTGCGTCAGGAGGCTGCTCTCCAGCTCCTCGGAGCCCTCCATCTGCAAGAGAGCAAACAGGTCTGTGCTTCAGCCCCAGCCCAGGGAGACCCCGCTGGCTGGGGGTGGCCTCCCAGGGACCCCTGGTCCCCGCCAGCCCCTCTGCAAAGCCCCCCCCACCTCACAGCCCAGAGGCGAGGATGCTCGGCTAGCTCTGGGCCACGCGCATCCCTTGGTGTGCATGCAGCTCTCCCGGGGCAGGCGTTTGTGGGAGCACTGTGCAGGGCAGTTCCTACCCCCTCTCAAAAGAAGCACCCCAAATGCACCAGGGGACAGCAGGAGGAAGCTTGCAACACAGCAGCTGCCTCCCCCAGCAGTAACCCGTGCTTGCTGCCATTAATACG